TTTTTTTTTTTTTGAGTTGGAGTCTCACTCCATCGCCCAGGCTGAAGTGCAGTGGCATGCATACTCGCGGCCACCCCAGTGTTGACCTACTGGGCTCAGGCAATCCTTCTGCCTCAGCCTTTCAAGTAGCCAGAACTACAGGCGCGGGCTACCATGCCTGGCTAATTTTTCGGTTTATTCTAGAGATGAGGTCTCCCCAAGTTGCCCAGGCTGGCACTGAACCCATGGACTTAGGCGATACTCTCACCTCAGCCTCCCAAAGTGCTGGAATTGCAGACTTGGGCAACTGCGCCCAGTCCAGTCTGGTCTTAAACTCCTGGACTCAGACAATCCTCCCACCTCGGCCTCCCAAAGTGCTGGGATGACGGGCATGAGCCACCACTCCTGGTCCAAGATAACATTTCTTAACATCTTGCATAAAAAAGGACTCACAGGTCAGGCGATGCTGAATAGAGGGCTTGAGGTGGTAGAAAAGCAGCCCCAAAAGCTGACCAGGGTGTGTGTGTCCAGCAAAGCATTCTTCTTACTAAGTGATCTTACCAGGTGAATTGTTTAATTCTAGGAGACATGAAGAAAGAACTATGCTCCCGTCCTTGACACCACATTTCAGAGGGCCTCCCCAAAGTGCTGGGACAGGCACTGCATTCCGCGGGGACTGCATTGAAGGGCCCAGCCCACCCCAGGGCCCTAGCAGCCAGGCGCCTAAAGGTATCTGCAGAAAAGGTGCTCCATGCTGCTGTCCTCCAAACTCAACACTGGGGGCACCACAGTCCAGCTGCTCAGGAGGCTGAGGTAGGGGGATCGCTTGATACCAGCCTGGGCAACATTGAGACACAGGGGGAAAAATAAAGGGGGTATGTACCCTGGAATTCCTTGAGATCAGTGGTTCCAGCTTTCACATGAGCTAGGATTACCTGGAGAGCCTGTTAAAACAGACTGCTGGTCTCCATGCTCCCTAGAATTCCTGACTCTGGGTCTGAGGCTGGGCCTAGGAACCTGCATTTCTAACAAGCTGCTGGGGGCACAGATGCAGCTGCTCCAGGGACCACCTGCAAAGAGCCACAGCCTTCAGTCCAGAGACGTTCCCCCCCCCCAGTGAGCAGAAACTCGGCCCTGATCTTGGCCCCCGCCTGACTGAGGGAGCAGCCAGGCAGTATCTGTAATTTAGCAGGAACCCACACACAAGGGCGGCCAACGTGGTCCCTGCATGTTCCCGGAGGCCCTGAAGCCTCGGCTCCTACCCACCTGAACCACTGCCTCCGCACACAGATACAGCCCACTCCAGGTGAGGCAAGCCTAGGGAGGGCACCAGAGGGACTCACAAAGCTGGGTAGGAGAGACTCACTCTGCCCATTTTCCTGCCCATCCCGCCAGAAGCTCACACCAGGACCACTCACTGCCTGGACTGTGAATCCAGCTCCCCAGGCCCAGCATGTCCTCAGCCCTATCTGCAACACAGATAGCTCCTATCACAAGCACCAAACACTTGTGCAGGATGAGAGACTCTTCCTGTGTCAAGCATGCACGTGGGGGGGGGGGGCGCACCACAAGATCCAAGCCCCATGGAAACGTGTCCAACCTGGCATACTCCTCAGGCCCCTCCCTGTTCCTATCAGGAGGGCCGGAAGTGGCATCCAGCATCAATCCAAGGGTCCTGACACTCCCCAAACCCTCAATTTGAGTCCGGTGCATCTGGAGAGCACTGTGCTCCCAGAGTCCCACACACACTGGCCACCAGGCTCCTGTCCCTTCCAGGGAGGAAGGACAATGTCGCCACCTGCATTTCAGAGAGCATCTGCACCACAGCGATGCTGCACACCAGAGCCTGGACTCGGCTCTGACCCCAATGTTCCTTTCCGTGACCTGACACCGTCCACACAGGTCTTTCCATGTCTGGAAACCTCCAATCCCTACACCTCTGAGGGGGTCTCTGTCGAGCAGGGATGGACACTGGGCCCATCCACCCATCTGCCTGCAATGGCGAGCCCTGTGCGCCTGCCCACAACAGTAGGCCTGAGAGCCTTGCAGGCCGCGACGACAGGGCCCATCCGGAACGTGAGCCTGCGTGCTGCCCTGACTATGCCAGACAGAAATCAGCAAAACAACTCTCAACAGCAGCATGATGGACGACCTGCTGCTGTGACACCTGGCACAAAGCCAGAGCCAAATGGGACACCGGCAGGACCTTGGCTCAGCTCTCGCAGCCTGGGCCCACCACACGACTCTTACAGACACTCGGCCATTTCCACCCCTTTGAGGTGAGTCCTGCCTGGGCTGGGTGGGCAGAAAGCAGCACTTGTGGGCCTCATGGCCCCGAGGACCTGACCCTCATCCAGCCCAGCCCTGCTGTGAGCATTTGGAAGGGTAGCATGCAACACTGGGAAGAGATGCAAGGCCAACAACATGCATGTTGCAGAGGGCTGTGCGGGCAGCAGTTGCAGGCTCCTGACAGCATGACAAATGCCACACATCTCCCAGCTCCTGGGGAATGGGGAAAGGAAGGGAGGCACAGTGTGAGGGGTTCCTGGAGCTTCAGGGATGGCTACAGAAATCCCAGAGCTCATGGGAGCCACAATGCTTCCTGCACAGAAGCCAAACCCAAGACATGCTGACAGCGGGGACCACCTGCATGAGCTCAGAGTGCTGTGACCTGGGCAGGAGCGGGTGGGCATTAGCCCCACCTGGGACCAGCCTGAGGTGGCTCTCCCCAGGACAGGCCTCACACAGAGGCACTTCTATACTCTCAGAGGGGCAGGGAGAGGCAGGGTCAGTCCTTACGCTGTGTCTCTGACATCTCTTGGGATCCGAGAATTCCAATCTCGGAAAACTTCATTTTCTTTGTCAAATTCCCGTTCATCTTCACCAATGGTCACCGTAAATCTTTTTTCTTCAAAATCCGGCTCCTGCTCTTTTCGAATGGTTGCTTTTTTTAAAACCTAGCATTGTAAGAAGAAAAAGTCAACATGGAGTCAGAACACCCAGCGTTGCTGTCAGGAGGCACAGGGGAACCCACACAACGTGACTTGAGTGGCCCTGCAGAAGGCACGATGCCGTCCGAGAGTCAGGGACAGAGCCTTGCAGAAGGCATAGCCACTATGTGTATGGGTGGGGAACAGAGCACTGCAGAAGGCATAGCTGTTGCTGTGTGCCAGGGCAGGGGACAGAGTCCAGGTACCTTGGGCAGTCTGTCCCAGTAGCACCAGGAACTGTCCGAGCATGGAGGGAGGCAGGATGGAGCCCACCCCTCCCTACAGTTTCTCTTGGAATAGGATCAGAGAGCCTCAAACAGAACTGGGTGAGGTGACAAGTGGCCTGGGGGAGACTGGAGTCCGAGGGAAGGGGAAGTGTGCTGCCTGTCTGACTTGGGGCTGAGTAAGCAGGGCTGGGTGCCAGCAGACACTGGCCTCTAGATCTTAAGCCCGGACACCAGGGTCAGAGAAGGCCTGGAGGAGGGAGTGGGCAGTGAGGGGAGCCCTAGAGGGCACCACGGCCTCTTAAGCGAGAGTGGATGCTGAGGACCCAGCATGGGGTGCGGGGCCTGGGGGCATAGCGTGGCTGCCTCCTTAGATGTGGGAGGTGCCTCTGAGTGGCTAGAGACTACACACCATGTTCCTGGGTGGAACCTGAGGGCATGGCCCGGTGCTGACCCAGCCAGAGAGCTGGGAGTCTGTACCCTGCACTCGGCATCCCTGGTCCACTGGAGTTTGCCCATGACCTAGCTGCTTCCAAGAGACAGCGGGACACTGCTTCCCTCTGTTCACCTCTTAAAGGATCCCCAGACACAGAGTCCTGGCTCCCAAGGCTGCCCGAGTGTCTGGCTATCTCTGGGCAGGAGAGATGCTGGTTTTGCAAGGCCCCCGCAGCATGTTTCCTGTAAGGTTTTCTAAATCGTTACCTCCTTCGCATGCCGGAGTCCTCGTTCCCAGGCACTCTCTGCTGGGGGCTCTGGAGGGGGTGGAGGCAAAATTTCATCAACTATTGGCCCGCCCTATCAAAAAGTGAGAAGGGAGAAGTTGAGAAAGCAAGTAAAACCTGAAAGTCCTCAGAGAAAGGGGGAGAAAAACATCACTACACTCTGGCCCAGCCTACTCCATCCCCACGAAGTCCAGGCCTACGTCCACACAAGACAACAGAAGCAGCCCAGGGTGGCTCTCCCAGGGCACAGCATGGGCCTCCCCCAGGCACGGACACCCTTCGAGGAGGTGTGTTCACCGTCTTAAGCCCAAGTTTGGACAGGGGCCGATGGCAGACCCACGAGCGAGGAGGCGGCACGCACCCACGGGTTGGCAGGCATCAGCGGGTGAGGTCCGAGTGGCGGGGCACCGTTGGGCGGGAAGGGCTCGGCTTTGGTGATCAGGGAGTAGTTCCCCTTGTCATTCACACCTGGGTGTATGAACCGACAGTTCATCCCCCAGGTACAGTTCCCTACGGAGACAAAAGGCAGGTCAGAGAGGGCCACACGGCATGAGGGCGGCAGCAGGAGGCAGCGGTGTTCCTCAGGGCATGACACGTGCCTGCCAGTCAAATGCTCACGGGCATGGAGTGGGGAGTGGCGGGGCTGGAGTCTGGAGAGGCCAGAACGGCGGTCTGGCTGCGTGGCTTGGGGTCGCGCCACAGGAGCTTTAGAGAGGCCGGCCCCACGTGTCTGGGATGCAGCCGACTGGGGACTACCGCAAGACAGAACTCCCGCAAGGGTCTGCCCCAGCTACAGTCACTCTGTAAAGAGCTCACACATATCAACTGTCTGAATGTCAGTTTTCCCCGTGAAACAGCAAAGCCCCAGAGCTCTGCAGGCCGGTGGGGGGTACATGATGCCCAGCGGGTCTGGGATCACAGCCGAGGCAACAGCCCAGGCTATATATAGGCCACTCCACGCAAGCATACTAGATGCTAATTTCACTATGACTCAGAAAATACTCCCATTGAAACAGAACCAGCAAGAAGCACAGCAGCAGTCAGAAGTATCCAGAGGTGCCCAGCTGCCCCCCCCCCCGTAAACCTGCATTTCTCTTCACAAAGTTCTCACAGACCACTGCGAGGTATTTCTGGTCTTAAATGGGGCTTTTATATTTTGTTCACAAATAACAATCAAAAACTGTCATCCTCAGCAACAGCACAACAGGACCATTAAGGAAACCACTGAACTTGACTGTTCCATGCAGAACATGAGACATCTACACTTTTTCTTTCCTTTTCTTTTTTTTTTGAGCTGGAGTCTCACTCTGTCACCAAGGATGGAGGGCAGCGGCATGCTCACAGCCACCACAGCCTCGACCTGCTGGGCTCAGGGGACCCTTCTGCCTCAACCTTCCAAGTAGCTGAAACTACAGGCATGTGCCACCACACCCAGCTAATTTTTGATTTATTGTAGAGACAAGGTCTCACCAAGTTGCCCAGGCTGGTCTCAAACCCCTGAGCTCAGGCAATCCTCTCACTTCTGCCTCCCAAAGTGCTGGGATGACAGGCATGCGCCACCATGTCTGGCGGCATCTGCGCTTTAAATTCAATTAGTGAGTGAATCACTTTTTAAACTTATGCTTTTGAATAACTAATATGTACATGTGGTTCAAAAACAAATATGGTCTATTAAAACAGTTTTGACTGGGGAGGAGTGGCTCATTGCCAGTAATCCCAGCACTTTAGGAGGCCAAGGCAGGAGGACGGCTGGAACCTGGGAGTTTGAAACCAGTCCAGATAACACAGCAAGAACCCCATCTCTACACAAAAATTTCAAACATTAGCCAGGCATGCTGATGCGTGCCTGTAGTCACAGCTACTTGGGAGGCTGAGGTGGGAGGAACAGCTGAATCCAGAAGTTTGAGGCTGTGTAGAGTTGTGATGGTGCTACTGCACTCTAGCCTGGGTTGAGTGTGAAACTCCAGCTCAAAAACAAAAAAAAAAGCATTTTCAATGGGTTGGCATGTAGTTGGACTGGATTTAAAATCATTCTCAACAGATCTTCCATCATAACATTATATTTCTTTTTTTTTTGAGTTAGAGTCTCACTCTGTCGCTCAGATTGGAGTGCAGTGGCCGTTCCCGGCCACTGCAGCCTCGCCTGCTGGGCTCCGGCAATCCTTTCGCCTCAGCCTTCCAAGTAGCTCGAACTACAGGCGCGCGCTACCACACCCGGCTAATTTTTTGATTTATTGTAGAGATGAGGTCTCACCAAGTTGCCCAGGCGGGTCTCGAACCCGGGGCTCAGGCAATTCACTCATCTCAGCCTCCCAAAGTGCTGGGATTACAGGCTGAGCCACCGAGCCCAGCTTATAACATGATATTTCATCTGAACATTTCTATCGACAAGTCATGCTTTGCCTTATATAATGTAAATTAATAGAAACTTAGCATTTTGGAAGAAAACACATTTTTACCTGTAAATATTACAAACATTTAAGCTTACATTAAAACCAACTCCATATGACGTAATAATACACAAACTCAAAGTAAACATGAAACAATCACACTTAAAACTGCTTCTCTGGGCTCTGGCCCCTCCCTAACCTCAAGGAGGGGAATCTTCTCTCTCTCTCTCTCTCTCTCTAATTTACTTTCTAAATAAACTATATTTTCTGATCTAAAAAAAAAAATTGTTTCTCTGGCCAAATGCAAAAATGATATATTTTTTTTCCTTCTTACTTGGGATCTCATTCTGTCTCCCAGGCCGGAGTGCAGTAGCACCATCATGGCTTTCCACAGCTTCAACCTTCAGGGCTCAGCCAATCCTCCCTCCTCAGCCTCCCAAGTAGCTGAGACTACAGACATGAGTCACCACGTCCGGCTTATTTTTTTTACTTTTTTGTCGAGACAAGGTCAAGCTATGTTACTCAGGCTGGACTAGAATTCCAGGGCTCAAGCAACTCTCTTATCCTGGCCTCCCAAAATGCTGGGATTACAGGCGTGAGTCATTGGGCCCAGTCAAAAAAGTTTAAGTTCCTAAAAGTATTTAACAGCCCACATACAAGTCAAAGAGATTGGGAAATGTTATTCTACTTGGGGTTCAGAATCCCAGAGCTTCAGAGTGCTTTAAAACGAAAAGACCACGCAGCCACACACCCGAAGAGAGACCTAAATCACTGTTGGCCTCTCTCCATTCAACTGTCACAGTATTTGGATGTATTCAACACTGCTCGTGCCATTTAAAAGCAAAGGCACGTTCGTGACCCGCCTGGGCAACTTGGCGAGACCTCATCTCTACAATAAATCAAAAATTAGCTGGGCTTGGTAGTGCGCACTTGTAGTTCCAGTTACTCGGAAGGCTGAGGCGGAAGGATCGCAGGAGCCCAGCAGGTCAAGGCTGCGGTGGCCGGGAGTAGCCACTGCACTCCAGTCTGGGCGACAGAGTGAAACTCCAACTCAAAAAAAATAAAATAAATAAATAAATAATAAAAGCAAAGGCACATTGTAAAAGGTGTGCAAGTCCAGAAAAGGACTCACAGTATAAGCCACAGCATTCTAGCAACCTGTTAACCTAAAAAATGCACTTGAGTGGTGACTCAATGGGTGTGTCATTCTGCTCTTCTCTGTGTTCACACGTTTTGAGGACCTCACCTACGAGCCCACTGTCGACAGAGACCTTTCCCCACTGACAACGGTAAGGGAAAAAGAGCAGACGATGAGAAGCAGCCGGCAAGTCCCTGAGGTGACAGGTCGGCACCCGCAGGCCATGCCTGGGGGCACGGAGCCAGGACCCTTGGAGCGCTGTCTTGACCCCGGGCCAGGGCAAGGGGATGATGGCTCCAGAAAGCAGCATTTGTCTGAATTTGTGCAGGGACAGATGTCCAACAAACGCTGGCAAGAAGAGTGGCAGGCACACCGGAACCCCAGTCTGTTCTGACACGAACTTCCGTCTGCATGAGAAGAGTGAGGACACATCGAGCTGCCAGGATGGGGAGGAGGCTTCACCTTTTACTCTCGTGACTGTCAGCACCTGTTACTTTCTTCATGAAAGAAACCTTATGTGAGAGTTCTCCAGGGGAGTAAAAAAAAGAATAAAAGCAGAGGTTGGATGTGGTGGCTCAGGCTGTAACCCTAACATGTGGGGAGGCCGAGGCAGAAGGATAGCTTGAGTCCAGGAGTTTGAGACCAACATGGGCAGCACAGAGAGACCTCGTCTCCACAAAACAGAAAAAGAAAAAATTAGCCAGGTGTGGTGTCGAGTGCCTGTGGTCCCAGCTACTAGGGAGGTTGAGGTAGGAGGATCGCCTGAGCCCAGGAGGTCAAGGCTGCAGTGAGTTGTGATTGTGCCGATGCACTCCAGTCTGGGCGACAGAGAGAAACTTATCTCTAAAAAAATGATATCAATAACAAAAAAGAAAAAAATTCTCCCAGAAAATAGAAGGAAAAATAAGGAACTTCTGGTTTTAAGACTGAAAGGCCTTCTGCTTCTAAGTGGAACTCCACCATTGAATGCATGCAAACTGGGACTCTCACAGCATAAACAAACAGGATCAGTCATCATGTGAGGGACCCTCCACACATGGACTCAGCCTGGAGGCAATGAGGAGTTGGAGACTGCCAGGAGGGTGGGACAGGGGTCCTCCATCCTGAAATGCCTACATGTGACTTGTGCACATGAGACTGCAAAGGCAGATGCTCCTTTCCCTAACTGGACAGAAGGCATGTCAGCAAGCGTTGTATCCCTCAGTCAACTCTACGCCTGTGCACACACTCTGTGCATATGAAATATTTCACAGCAAAACAAGTCAAGGAAACGAATGTAAACAGAAACAGTCTACACCCTCTGAAGGAGGCACGGCAGACCTCGCCCCTCAGCCTCTAGGCCCATGGCCAGAGCTGGTCTCCACTCCCAAGGCTCCTGTCAGTCCTGCCCCCCCCACTTTTCTGGGCACACAACGTGGGAGCTCGGCTGCTGTCCTAAGCTGCATGTCCAAGGAAACGTAGCAGCATGCCGAATGGCAACACGCCACACTATGAGTGACACGGCATGCTGCATGCTGGAAAGGTCACAGCAGTCCCAGCAGAAATCAAGGGAATGAGCAGAGATGCCAAAAAATGCTGCCACTCACACGCCAGCACAGCCCACACATCCAGCCTGAGAAAGCCCTCTCTGCATGGTACCCACGTGTATGTGAGTGTGTGAATACGTTAGCATGTGTGAGCAGTGTAAGAATGGCTTGTGTGAACACATGAGTGTGTCTGAGTGTGTCAGTACGAGAGCCCATGTGAGCTAGTGTGAGCATGTGCGAGCGTATCTGAGTATGTGAACATGTGAGCCCATTAGTATGTATAAGCATGTAAGCTCACGTTAGCATGAGCTCCTGTGAACATGTAAGCATGTGAGTGCTTGTGAGCATGCATGTGTCTCTGTGAGTACATGAGTCCATTAGCATATGTAAGCATGTGAACTCACATTAGTGTGTGTGAGCATGTGCATGTGTAAGCACATGAACTCACATTAGCAT